TCTGTCTGTCTGTCTGTCTGTCTGTCTATCTATCTGTTCATCAGTCATCTATCTGTCTGTCTGTCTATGTATCTATCTGTCTGTCTGTCTGTCTCTGTCTATCTATCTATTCATCAATCGTCTATCTGTCTGTCTATCTATCTATCTGTCTGTCTGTCTGTCTGTCTGTCTATCTATCTATCTATCTATCTATCTATTCATCAGTCGTCTATCTATCTGTCTGTCTGTCTATCTATCTTTCTATCTTTCCAACTGTATCTCTTCTCCTGTCATTTTGAGCTGTAATCTTTGGCTGTGTATTGAGAGCTCAGAGAGTCACGTGTAGCGTGTAGCATGTCAAAGGTCACGTGAGTGTCGTATACCCAGCGGTCACATTGATCTGTCCGTCTCTCTCTCTCTCTCTCTCTCTCTCTCTGCAGTACATAAAGACCTTCTACAATAAGACGTGGATCGATCGCTATAATGAGCCCATTGGGGACGGGACGGTCACCCTGCTCTGGTCGGTCACCGTGTCCATCTTTGCCATCGGCGGTCTGGTGGGGGCGCTGACGGTCTCCTTCCTCATCAAAGCCTTGGGCAGGTGAGACTCCTGCGCAAATTACACTTCAGCCAACTAATTAGTGCAAAACAATTCAACACAGACAAACTGGTCTAAAGCTAGTTTAGTTCTGTCGTGGTTTTCATTGACAGTCAGACCTCTTCTGTATGCTCAGGCCAATTATGTAAACATATGCAAATGATATGTAAATAAGGTAATGAGTAATTTTCATGTTGTGTTTGATGTTGAGCTTGTGTCGGTAGGTTGGTTATGGTTTGTCATTTGCTGCCATCATAGGTGCACGTATAAGACATCTTAACTGGACTGGAATCTAAAGCAGCATCAGATGCATCTGGATAAGAGTCCCAGAATGCACTGCAGTGAAACGATGGAGGGTAGAGTCAAGTAAGACAGCAGTACTGATCCGCTCTAGTTCAGGCAGAACATTTATTGATAGATTCATGAGTTCTGTACATCTGTCATGTCAGGTTGTGGCTGGATTGTGCGTAAATTGTGACAGTGTTGACATGTCGTGGTCTTTATGACGACTGCTGTGTTTGTGACACACATGTAGACGTATGTTGTGCTGGGCTCATCAGAACACTGGTCACGCTGCATTAGGAGGCGACGCACACACACATAAACACGCTCTGAAAGGTGTTTGACAGGAAGCTGTTCTCTGGATGGAGTCGTTTCAACACACATTATTTCCCAGGGGGAAATCTTTATCTGCATCTGGACAGAAGATCAGCTGCAGCAGAAACGAGTCTAGTGTAGGGCTGCACCATTAATCGAAATTAAATCGCAAAGGTGATAAATCGTGATTTGGCAGAAGCTGCGATTATCATGCGTATCTTTCAGTGAAGCACGGTTCTGTGATCAGCAGTAAATCTCCATCCGAAGGCCAGAGGGCGCTCTCGTGCTGAAACTCCAAATACACCTTGCAGAAGAAACCCAGGAAATGCCTATAGCGGTTGCTGAATAAACAGAAGATTTAACTGCTTTCATTGATTCAACGTGACTAATAAACACACGACAATGAAAATATATGGTTTATCTGAGTTCATCTTACTATAATTTTTATTATAATAAAGTATATAATAATGCGATGCTAACTGACATAGCTTTTATCACTGCTTAGAATACTATGAAATATGTTGCGTGCCTTATTCTGTGTAAGAAGCCACATCATCTCACAGAAGGATTTATTTCAAACACTCGACTGACATTATGAAGTGATTTTGGAGTAAAAACATGTTATTAAATGTGGTATTTTCACGTGCTTTCAGATGGAGCAGCATTTTCTACAGCCGTAGTTCACTGAGAAGCTACGCAAACAGCTTTCATAATTGCAGAATGATTTCTTCGATTTCATTATTGCACGATTATATCATCTGCAATTATGAACGCGATTTTGCGTACCTTGTCAGTGAACTATGGCTCTGTGTAATAAACGCTGCTCCATCTGAAAACACATGCTGGAGATTTACTACTAATCACAGAACCTGCTTTACTGACAAGATGCGCATGACAATCACATTCGATTAATCCTGTAGCCCTAGTCCAGTGCAGTTCTGATGATCACAGTCTACACACTCCACATCCGTTACATCTGTCTGTCTGTCTGTCTCCATCCTGTCTGTCCATACGTCCATCCATCCATCTGTCTCTCTGTCCTTTCATCGGTCTGTCCATCCATCTGTCTGTCTGTCTGTCCATCCGTCCGTCTGTCTGTCCATCTGTCTGTCTGTCTGTCTGTCCATCTGTCTGTCTGTCTGTCTGTCCTATA